ACAAATCTATCAAATTTATTCTATCAAATATATTCTGAATCCTAATACATTTAATATTTCGATCAAGATTAAATTAAAACAAATTCGATTTTTTTGAAAAATATTGTAAAATTTATAGAATAAATTTATAGAATTTTTGTTTTACATAACAATGAGTTTTTCTAAAAGTTGTAAGTACATTTTAAGATTATTGTACATTTTAAGAAAATATTTTTTGTTACAGATCATTATTTAAAAGAAAAAAAAGTATATTGAGTAATCACTTTTCCTAACAATACAATGATATTTTTATGTATTGAGTTTATAAAAGTAAGGTATGAAAAAATACGAACAAAAAATAGATTATAAATCTGTTCCTCGCAGTCGCGCTACATCGTACTTTCAGTGCTTGAAATAAGACATATGATTAATTAGATGTTGGAGAGAAAAGAATATAAAACGCAAAATGTTTAGCTACGAAGAGCAAACCTTATAACAGAATAGAGAATCATGTTTGTAAATCCCGGGTAAATAGACTTTTCAAAATGTTAAAATAATATCTACCATAGAATATCAATACGTATATATATATGTATATATATATATATGTATAAAACGTCGAAAGTACGAGAGAAAAATGATGATTATAGAATTCCTAAATAATGCGAATAATCTGTATTGCGTTCTAATTTTTTTAACGCTACTTGAAGTTATTCACAGAATTAAAAATAATCGAATTATAAATAAAATAAGAGGAAATACGACTTGCCTTTTCTCGTTCTCTAACTAAACTTTTAAATAAGCGTTTTTATTTAATCAAAGTGTTGTTAGAAACGATATAATCTTTATATTCTAAAATATAATAATTATAAACATTATCATCATATGTATTATCATATCATCTTATATTGTTACTATTAAATATTACATTATTATGTTGATAGCAACACGAAAGAGTACTATTAAAACACAACATGAAGTAATAAAAAAAACACTATGCAGATCTGATTCAAGAAAAACAACATTTTATGCATGCATGTTAACAGTTAATTTCTATGTAAATTTCTAAAATGGGAAAAATAGAGAAGCAAATTTTTATGTAAATTTATCGATAAAGTAGAACTTCGGCAGATTTCCGTTTAATCAGTAACTGGTACTACATAACAGCGTGCAGCGTTGTTGAACTAATAGATCTGTTTTTCATTCCTGCACTCTATGAACTGGTGCACTGATGCATAGTGTAATAAGTTGAAATAAAACAGATATATTTATTTCATTTTAATTTATTGTACAGTATATATCAGATCAGGAAGTGCAGGAATAAAAAACAGAGACTTATGCCGATATTCATAGTCAGGTCTTATATTTTTTCTTAAATTTAAGGCCTCAGATACTTTACAAATAAATTTAAGGAAGCCTTAAGTACAAGGTCTGACTATGAATACGAGCATTAGGGTCACTTTAAGAAACTTAATTAATCGATTAGTCCATTGAAATTGATCAAAAGCATTTTGTTTGACGGCAGGTGCAATTGACCAATTCTAATGGACTAATCGGTCGATTTAGGACCATGGCACATAAAAAAACTTAAGCAGTAAAACGTAAGCGAATTGACCAGTCACGGTAGAGTCCGTACATGTAGAGTCCAACATGTCGATTTCCTTACTGTTTAAGTTTTTTGTATGCCATGGCCTTAAGTTTAAAGTGACTCTTATATTGTGAGATATGGCAACATCTCACAAAACTGCAACGTTGCATAAGTCGTTGTTATGATCAAATAAATTCCATGCATTTAGTCTCTTATCCCACTCTCCTCATTCAAAGAGCGGTATCATAAGTGCACGATAACACTCGATTAAAATCCGTTCACTTGGGTAATATAAGCTCAATCCAAGTTTTATTGCCGTGAGACGTGGTCATCACGATAAATCTCCATTATCACTGCGATATCTGGAAACCAATAAACAAGTACGAACATATTTTCGAAAATAGTGAAAAGATAACAGTCGACGTTGTGCAACTCTTGCAACTCACTTGTAATATATCTTAAACGAATAAATTAAAATATATATCTGTGTGTATATATAAATATACGCGATTGATATAATTGTAGCTAAGTAAATTTTTTTCTTAATTGAATATTGTTAGATATCATTATTTTATATTCTTACTATTGCGCATCTATCAGGGTATCCAGCGATATCTGACATTAATCAATTCAAGGACAGTTCCAGAACATTTCAGGTAAAAATCCAAATTTTCCAGGTTAATTTTTTTCGATTAATTTTCATTAGTTAATTAATTTTTGTTGATTCACGCAATATTATATATTTTGTATTCAAGTTACGATCCAATATGACGAATTAATTAAAACGCAAACAAATTTGGAATATCATTTAATGCTTTATAAATAATATTAAACAAACATAATTTAACGTAAATATAATAATTTCTTTATTACATCCTATTTTATAAATTTATACATTAAATTCAAATTTTCTACTAGTAATTTTCTCTTTACTGCATCTTTAAGAATATATATTCGGATATAATTTTTCTTTTTGTTATCACAAACATCAACTTATAAAATTATTAATTTATTTTCGCTTCATTAAATTATTAATCCAATTTTTAATGTTCGCACTTGTTTTCAAAAGCTTTATCTAAAATCATCGTAAAATTTATCGTTGACATAGTTTTGCGCACGCGCAGAAATATGTCTTATCTTTTTCATGTGATCTGATTTTTTTAAATAAAAGAATGACAAAAATCCCAGGTCAATCTTGAAATTCAAGAATTGATCTGGAATTTTTGAGTTTTTTGGAATAACTTAAATTCCAAAATAATTCCAAGATTCAAGAATATTCGAGGATATTCGCTGGACACTCTGGTTATATATAATGTTTTTATATCTTTCATTTCATTTTTCTTTTCTTTATAGAAATAATGTACATAATTAAATATCTATAGAAGAATATACAAAAAGATTGTCACTGTCCGGTAACAATTGTTCTTAAAGCGTAGTGATTGTTTTTATCGAGTATAAATGTAACGTCTGTCACATGATATTTTTAGAATTAAAATAATGATAGAATAAAATATTTTACATTTTATACGTGAGAATTTATATATAAAATAATAATATAATAGACATTTTGATTTTATCATTATTTTACTTTTTTTATTAAAAAATTATATATTAAATATTTATTCTATCATAACTTCATCTATATTGTATATATAAAAAAAGTAAAATAACGATGTGAGATATATATATATATATATATATATATATATATCACATATCGTTATTTTTATATACAAGCGATGTCAGAAAAAAGTATACAGATATCTATCTCCCCAAGCGAAGTCTCTAACTTATTGTTAAAGAAAATCTTAACATAGGAAATTGAGCCTTCGGAAATCACTTCAATTTTCAATCTTCCTTTATCGTAATATTTTCAGAAATATGTTTCCTCCTACCTACGTCGAGGGTTTTCACGATCCCGAAGCGGTAAAAGCTATGGAATACAAAGAGCTCGGAAAAACAGGGATGTTTGTGAGCAAATTAGCTTTTGGTTCCGCTACACTATGTGCTCTTTACAATTTAAGGTAAAATTATTTATCATTCGTGCGAGTGTTATGTTAAACGACATGATGTAATAATTATTACATAGCTATATTATTACTGCAGTAACGAAGCAGAGGCTATCGAAACTGTACGTCAGGCAATAAAACAAGGCATTAATTATATTGATACCGCACCATGGTACGGTCAAGGCCAATCTGAGGCAATACTTGGCAAGGTATGCAAAAATTTATTAAAAAGATTACAGAATTTTTTTTTTCGTATATCGAACGACTGATGTTTTATCTCGCATTTATTTATTATAGGCTTTAAAGGGGATTCCGCGCAAAGCTTATTACATCTCGACGAAAGTTGGCAGATATGAATTAGATTACGACAATATGTTCAATTTCACCGTCGAGAAAACTCGGCAGAGTTTTAAAAAGAGTTTAGAATTGTTGGGACTAGATTATGTTGATCTTATTCAGGTAAAATATTGCACATTGTCATTTCATGTGAATAAAATTAAATCTAATAAAACAATTGAACGTTTAAAAAATAAAATTTACAGATTCACGATATTGACTTTGCACCCACAATGGATGTAATAGTCACACAAACTTTGCCGGAATTGTCGAAATACGTGGCTGATGGCAAAGCAAGGCATTTAGGTGTAACTGCATACACATTGTCCGCACTGAAAGAATGCGTCGAAAAGAGTAACGTTGTAGCCACTGTATTGAGTTATTCGAGAAATACTCTCATCGATGACACTTTGTTGGAGTACATTCCATTCTTTAAGGTGCGCATATCATTTCGTGTCGCATATCGCCACGTTTCATGACAATTTCATTAATTATCTAGGAGCATAAAATTGGTTTAATTAACGCCGCCGCACTGTGTATGGGTTTGTTAACGAATAACGGGCCACAGAGCTGGCATTCAGCCTCCGACGAAACGAAGAAACAATGCGCGAAAGCTGCGCAATACTGCAAGGTTCGTTAACAATAGACAGACATCAATTAAAAAGACACATTGTAGTGGAACTATTGTACTTGACTATCAAGTTATCTGTTGCTGTAATCCTGAAAAAAATAACATTATAAAAAAATAACAGGATCGCGACGTAGAACTCAGTAAACTGGCGATATGGCACTCCATGCAATGCGCGGATGTGGACACCAATCTAGTTGGAATACAAAACATGAAGGAGTTGCAGATAAATCTGGATGTGACGCTAAATGGCATTACGGAAAAAGAAAAGACAGTGTTGAAAGAAATTGAAGAAAAGTGAGTTTCATTAAAATTTTTTCTATTGCAATGCATCTTAACTTTTTTCAGCTTATTCTTTTAAACCGGAATATGGAAATGTTTATTCTCTAGGTTTCTATCAACGAAAAATCATCACTGGGAAGGTAAAGACGTCCGTATGTACAAAGAAGGCCTCAAGAAGAAATGAGAAATATATACTTTTATTTCTACTGTTTATATATCATTTATAGAATTCTATGAAATATGTAACAATACATGGAATGCGTAACAAACATTTCGTAAAAAATAATACCCTTCTCTCCGTTATTAGTGAATCTAAAATTTAGGTAATACTAAGCGTAACATTCAGGTAGATCACTATTTGGCTCGAGCACTTTGTTTAATTGAGAACACAGTAACAGTTGATCAGTCTCATTCGCTTTTCAAGAGATTCGTTATCTCACAATTAGCATACTATAAAAATATATCATTAGAATTGAGTGAAAAATGCTTTTTCAAAATTTAACGTAGGTGAGTAATTGTTCTCCATCGGTTTGATCTGATATGTTAATTCGTACATTAATATTGTTATATACGATCTTAGGATAGACTTGTGATACATTTGTTTAAGTTCAAACCCTTTTTTAAAGCACAATTCTCTACCTTCTTCTGTATATTCAGAAGCTACTATATTAGCACAGCTATATCCTGCGTCAATCGCAAATTGTACAGCATCGTTGAGTAGGCATGATGCTATACCTTTTCTCCGATATTGTTCATGCACGCACAGTCTCTTTATCCACGCACTTCGATCTAACCTGTAACTCTTGCCTAAACTGACAGTTCCTACTATTTTCTTGGCTTGTAAGGAGACATCTAACTTGGCTTGATAAAATTGTTCTTCCCTCATTACAGTATAATGTACCTCCTTAGGCTGCTGTGTCATCAGGTAAGGCTCAAACGCCTCAGCAACCCAGAAGCAGGAGAAGGCGTTCGACATGTAAAGTCTGTGGACAAAAACATTGAAATGTTACAATAGATTGTCTCGAATAATTCGATAAGTATCATTAATAATTTAGAACTGATGGTATATTTATTAGATTCATTCAATTATAAATTTCTTTGTCAAAAATGCCAATTTAATTTTCTTTATGCTACATCAGCAAGTTTGGATTATTCTTATAAAAATATATCTAATATTCATTCTTTTTTGTATAAGTTATGTCACTCTGGTTCTTTGACATAATAATATGTCTTTTAATTAATATAAATTGAATAGATTTTTTACAGACTTGATATCAGTAGGCCTGTTTTTTTTAGCTTCCTGCATGGTTCATCTTTCTTCCTTTTCTCTTCACATTGGAGGAAAAAAAAGAGGAAAAATAACTTATTCAAGAAGTTCAAAAGCTAAAAAGAACAGATCCAATAATTATTATTAAGGTCTCTTCTTTTTAATTCTGAATTTCTTGCACAGTTCATTTTTCTTTCTTTTTCCTCCACATTGAAAAGAAAAAGAGGAAAGGCGAATCATGCAAGAACTTTAGCTAAAAAGAATAAACTATAGATTGGTCAGCTCCAAAGAGTTAAACGATTTATGATAAAATACCTCGGAATGTTAGCCACCTCTCCATTGATCTCCGTTAGCTTTGCAGCGAAAGTGGCGTATGTTCCAATATATATCAATGCTATGACTACAGGTACAACTAAGAGGCACACAGTTAACGGCATCCCGAAGAAGATAAACATTATTGCGGACAACAGAATAATCAACTGAAATGTTATCTCTTTGAATAGCATTCCGCAGAATGTGGCACTTAGGGACGACATCACGCAATCTCTGATTAATTTCCTGCAACCGGTCTCGTCGCCAGGCTTGAAGGCACGTACGATTACGATGTGGCTCATTCTCGAGGAGCACTTTAGGTCAAGCTATATAATATGCATCTGCTAGATACGCTGGGTCATCTTATTTATTCCGTTACGTTCTCGTTATTGTTTACTTGTTGGCTCACTATCATTAATTTAAGGTTAGGATACACAGAGCAGCAGAGCACTCATTACTCAAGTTAACTCAAGTATCGCGAGAGCGAGTGAGAAAATTATATCAGTGCCATCTGTGCGCAATGATCCGAATTAAAAAAGATCGCATTCCTATTACGTTATCAGAATATGCCAAAAATGTTGTTACCTATCCTTTTCTCGTCAACGATTTAATATTTTTATCTATTATAATATTTTAAATTACGAGATTTTTTTATCTACAATACATTGATGGCACTTCGTCGATGAGAGAGGCAGTTTCTTCGCATGAAGTTGCTAATTTTAAACACCTGCGTGAAGTTGTCCGCGCGTACTTTGAATTTCTCGCCAGTCATTACAAGTTCGGTGGGCGTCGTGTGCGTGTGATGTGTGCGACGAATCGTCATATCTTTTCGCGTTATTTATTCGTTCATGGCAGATCGTGCGTGTCATAAGCGTCGGAAGTGTTGTGTAAAGCGCCGGGTGACTTTCATATCGTGGTAATGGACCATGTTTTTCAAATCAACATGTGTTGGCCGAGCGAATGTTTGGAGCCTCCAGAATGACGGAATGGCGGCGCGAAGACACGGCATCGGTCGGCGAGTGCAGAGAATCGGTAAAGTAAAATAATTTTCACATCTGCATGCTTATTAATTTTTACCACGTTAATTTAATCACGTGATTTGTCGGAATGAGGCACTCGAATTTGATACTCAATTTTTTATACATTGTGGCGACAAGAACAGAAAGTAGGTTATTAGGTTAGATTAAATTAATTTGTGCGCTTTGTGGGAAGTGTTGTAAAACAAGTGAAAACTTGCGATTTTTTTTTTAAAACGTCACTTGTAGAGGCACTTTTATTCGAATATAAAACTGCTATATCGTGGCAGAACTATTTTACGACGGTGTGCAGCGTTCATTTTTCAATTCTACATGCATCTCGTGTGAATTAATTATAGTATTCGTTCTGCAATATTCCCACCTGGATGATAAAAAATGAATTTAATTAACTATTGTATGGTGCAGTTTATTTCAGTTTATTGCATAAAGCTCATTTTGGACGATCTATTGCATCAGATTTCAGTATAAAATTCTAGTTATAATTTTTGAATGTTGTACACTTTAAATATATACACAGAAAAAAAAATTGATTTTTAAATAAATATTTTTTTAAATAGTTTTAAGTAAATATTTACTAAATGTAAACATATATTTATTTAATAGACAAGAATCATTAATTTTATTTAAATATCATTTTCTTTTATTGAACAAATATTTATTTACTCTAAATAAATATTTACTTGGAACTATTAAAAAAAAATTTACTCAGAGTTAATAATTTTTGTTCAGTGTATATAAATATATTTATATATATTTTATATATGTTTACAATAGATAAATGTATAAAATATATTATATATATTTAATAATAAAAATTATAAATTTATAAAAATATATATTTTATAGATTTAAAAATTAATTATTTAATTATATATTAATATATGAAATATAATACAATAAATATATATATTTACATTAAATTAAATAGTTATGTGTATTTTACATAATTTCTTTTAATATTTTATGGCATATAAAATTATAAATAGAATTTCCGAATTCTGATCAAATTATATATTGTTTATAATTGATTTAAATATGTAAATAAATTTAATCATGAAACATGATAGAATATTAACCGTCTTTTCTTTGTTTAAATAAATTTAACAGCTAATGAGGTTTTCAAATCAAAATTGTTATGACGTATATTTACCTATAGCCCTTACGATCTTCCAGACTTAGTTTATTGAAAAGTATTATGTCTGCATCGGGATCTTGTGCAACATCCTCCTCTGTTTTGTTAGCGGTGCGCTGATATGAGATAACACCGGTGATCGATGCAGTGTTTTCCGTTAACGCATCAAAATCCACCGCCGCAATGTTATAAAATATCATTTGTTCGTTTCTTTGTTTGAGCAATCTTGAATAATATTTAGAATTAATAGTTTTGCTGCATGTAAATTAATGCTTATGAAACTCGAACATTCTTTTTTTATCAAATTACACAGTATTTATCCGCATGCGTTGTGCAAATATGCATTGTTATTAAGAAATATAATTAAGTCACTATCTTCGATAAAAATTGCAAAACCTTATATCAATTACGTAATCAAAACTTTTTAAATTTGTACGACATTTATTTTAATTGTCGATGAGGATAGTTACTTACATTAAAATAATCTTTATATATAAGTGATTTTAACTTACATGCATTGAATTTTGAAGAGCGTTGTAGAATTAGCAAGAAAAATTCTGAAGAACAATATACCAGATGTTTTTAACATATCTTCGGACGTCATTATTGATGCCCTGACTGGTTTACCTAAAATTTATGAGAATATTAAATTAATATACATAAAATTGCATAATTAATTGTTAAAAAAGATTTTAGCAATTAATTGTGCAAAATTAATGTTAAGAGACTTTTTCCAAGTTTATAATTATTTATAATAGTAAATCCCTTAACATTAATTTTGCACGATTAATTGCTAAAATTTTTTTCAACAATTGTGTAATTTTATGTAAATACATATAAGAAATTATTCGTTTAAATAATATGTTTATATGGAATTTCATTTAACATAAATTAGTATTAATAAACAGTATTAATAAACAAAATTAATGTCAATAATACGCTGTTTCAATAGACATTTATTCCAATAAAAAGGTAATTATTCTAATACCGCAAAACGGTGTTTCGGCTTTAGTCGCCAGATAATAGCTTCCCAATGGTCCACGATTAGCCGCATAACCCATCTCTTGATTCCAATTCGTTGATTCCATAGGGAAGCATGTTCCTTTTGCATAGGATATTCTTCTTTGTTGACAAGGCCATGCAATGAATCTGCATTTCTCATTTTGTGAGCGAACGCTCTCTATATAGAGCTGAAAAGCTCTTAAATGACTACACGCTATATTCTTGTCCAATAAATCTTCTATAATAAGTGATAAAAAAAATTAATGATTTGCTACTTTATAAAAGTATAAGTACATTTTTTTTCTAATGGAAAGCGGGTTAAATGTTTTATGATATACCGCAAAACAAATTCAGAACTTTTTTGTCTGGACGTTATCTATAATTTGCTATTAATGTATTGAATGCACATAAAAAATTGAATGATTACATAAAAAATTATGTAATAAATTTAAAAAACTGTGAGAATAAAATATTCCAAAACTTAGGCATGATATAAATTTGTTTCGACAATAATTTTAAAGCAGATATTCATACGGTTCTTATATTTAAGATCGTCTTTAGATGTTATAAACCAATTGCAAAGTTATATTAGTATTTTAAGACATTACTTAAGATAGTCTTGAATAATCGACTATGAATAGCCTAACTGAAGATAAATCAAAATCGAACATAATTACATAATTAAATACATAATTAAATTAAACAACTTAATCGCACTTTGATCACTCTTAACTCACCTTTTAAGTGACTGACCACCACCGAATTTTTAATGTCGGTGCAGCCAGGTTGCTCTCTACCGCCGTTAGGGAAAAAATCGATGTGTCCGATTGGCTTAAGTAGACCAAAGCCGTCCATGAAATCTTGAGAGCCATCGGTGTGAATGACATCGACGAGACGGGCGTCGGTGGCATCCAATTTTCTCGATTTCTCTCTGAACAGATGATGCCTGAAGAATGGTGACGCTGGATCGAGACCTGTTATACGACCCAGAAGTAGACTTTTTCTTTTTAATACTTCCGAGGCGCAGCCAGCCACGTGCGCGCCAAGACTGAAACCGATTACGTGAATGTCGGCGGGATCGACACCCAAATTGATGGTATCTAAAAGCACCAAAGCCAGTTGCCGGCCAACTAATTCGCTATTTGCTACAGCATTTCCGTAAGAAGTGCCCGCCCCCTTTGTCCAGTCCAAGATGATAACATTCGCGTCTTCCTGTATGTTAAATAGAATTTTAAAACTCTCAAAAATGTTTCAACGATGGCTTGAGAATTTTTTTATTTTAAATTGGAAAAGAAAAGAATAATTTATCTAAAGTGTAAAAATTGAAAGATAAAATGCTGAAAATTACTAAATCGAGAAGAAAATTTATGCCGAGTATTGCGCCAACGTCGCTCCCACTGCCCTTGAAACCGTGTATCAACACTCTGAGAGGCTTGCTAACATTGAATCGAGAATGTACGATAGATTTTAAATCATCCCCGTACTGTAAGGGTTCCGGTTTTTGCCGGTCCGCACGTGTATAGAGGAAGAACCTAGTTTGAATTACACTAGGATGCTCTGGCGCTCGTTTTATCGATAAATGCTGTGGCGGATCCGCAAAGCAACCGAGTAGATCTGAAATATTTTTTTATATTTTTCATTATCGGAATACTCATTCGTTTTAGGATATGTTAAAACTCAGCAAAAATAAATCGTTTTATATTTTATCGTGTTATATTTTAGTTTGAAACTCTTTTGGTTTGAAATTTTATTATTTTAACATTCACAACATTAAGAATAAATAAAAATTATTTTAAAATTTATTCGGGAAGAATTTACAATGTAATTGTCAATTTATATTTAATTACTTTATATTAATGCAATAATGGAAATTATTCCCCATAAAAGTAATCTATTGTTATCTTACCGTAACAGACTTTAGTTTTTTCTTCACGAGAGATGGCAAACCGTCTTAGCATAACACGATTCCGTCCCGTGAAAAGTTTGACTGCAAAAAGATACGATATTACCTTGGAAGAATTCAATAACAAGTCTTTAATCGTGGTATTGTACATCCGTTTATTGATCAATTTTTATTTGCCTGATCGCCCCACTTATATTTTACTTTCACCCGGAGCACCGCAAATTATCAATCGTGCAGCATCGCTTCAGTATGATTTCCGCGCTGGTGGATGCTACAGCCTGCGTTCGCATTGAATTTTCGATCTATCACAATATTGCATTATACAATCCTATTATAATAGTTGCGCTGTGAAAGTGTGTCGTATGTAAATACGACCTTAAGGTGCAAAGTACGCCGGTATTTC